TCCTCACTCGGTAATTAACTAAATGAGAAAGTTAAATCTTACTTGAGAGCTGGGAGAGATGAAAGAGAGGTGTTTGTCAGTTTCTCAGTGGAAATTAGAAGCAGTTTTCTGCAATTCCCTAAGCTGCTGCTCTGTCATATTTTACATAAGCACTGGGAAAACGTCTTGTAATTAGTGCTGTCATGGAGGATTTTTTTTGCTGAAGGATGTTGGAATAATTCATTAGATTATCAAGAAAGGCTTGTGTCCTGAAATGATTAGCACAGTGAAATTTAAACCATTAACGATAACAAGTTTAGAGCTTGCTGCAGTGCAGAGGCACCCGGGGTATGTCTGTGCCTATTTCAATCATTTCTTATAATTAAACATTATGTCCTCTTTTTTCCTCCCCTTCACTAAGACCCATCCAAAATTCCTGTTAAGGTGGCTCTGTCTAGATCGGTGACTTAACCACAACTGGCAGTGCAAGCAGCTAGAGGTGAAATGCTGCAGCTGCAAATAAGCAACAGAAGGCATCTGAGGCAGAAGCTGTAGTCCCAGGGAGTATGGGAAGGAGGGGAGGAAGCCCAGGGTGACCTGTTGGTGCTAGGATGTCAGAAGGAAGTCCCTTCTTTTTGTCTGGAGGGAAACTCAACTGAGAAATTTGCAGTGGTGATATAAGCTCTCAGTCTTCCCAGAACTCCAGGATGAACATGTCATGAAGGCTCAGAAGGTCCCAAACCCTGCTGGGATTGCTGAAGCCACTCTGGAATTTCTAGAAGGAAACAGTTGCTCTTTTAAGGGAAGGAGATGTCTTTTTACATCAAGAAGTGTATAATCTGAATTCGTCTACACTATGAAAAGTCCCTTAACAAAGTCCTCTGCAACAGTTAGAGGACACTGAGTTTTTAAAAATAAATAAATAGAAGCTAATATGGGTGGGGAAACACTACACCTGTATTAGAATCAGAGAACTATGCTGGTGCTTGTTTTTTTTTTTTTTTTCTGTGCTGTAGAAGGATCCCTGGTCCCCTGTCCCGAACAAAAATAAAAATAACCTTCGTTGTCATATATGGGTTACTGCTATGATATACCAGGGTTATTTTGTTTTCTGTGCGGAGCAGTAGACTTACCTAGGCTTTATTTATCTATGTTGAAATATTGCTCTTTCCCATAGTTGCAAACCGTTATTTAGATTAAAGTCCTTTATATATTAGTCCTCTTCTACTTCACTGGGCATACGAATGTGCTTTGTGTTAAATGTAGCCATTTGGAGAAATAGTCTTGTAATTATGGGCTGCAATGGAGTGTAGTACATAGATCCCTGAGCTAGTACCAACCTGCGGCAGTCAATCCCCTGGGTGTCCTGACATAGCTTGCTAGCTCAGGTACACTGCCGAGGGAGAGCACCCATACTGTTTTTGCACATGAGTTGGCTTGCCTAGAGCCATCCTGGACATCTCTGAGCCCTCGCTTATGGGGAGGGCCAAACCTGCCTTCCTAACTTTGCCAAAGAGAAGCAAGAATGGCTTTCACTGTTTTAAGTTGGCAGTTTGCTGCTTTACACCCAGACTTTCTCCTAGGGTGACAGACTACCGAGGCTTATGGTTCTTTGCCACTTTTGGAAGTGAAGCTTATAAAAAGAGTGAATGTATATAGTGCACTCAGTTGAATATTTAACAGAGCAGTATGCACTGGATGTGTAACAGTTCTCGTATTTCCAGATTAGGCCTGATTCTTGCACCAGGAGAGGGAAGAGGTTGTAGACTGTTGCACGCTCCAGCAAATAGTTACTGTTACGGTTCTGAGATAGTTTGTCATGAACTTGAGGCAGTGGCTCAGAATGGTTGAGTCATCAGGCTTTCTCAGGAAGCCAAATTGATTCTCTTACCGCTAGTAACTATTACCCCCCCCCCCCGCTTTAATAATACGGATACTTGATGTTGTTTTGTTGTTGCTTTTGTAATAACAGGCCTTTTTTATTGAACCCCCGGTGGATTTTCAGGAATCTTCAAACTGAACTTTTGGAATTTTGTTCTTAACTGTAGCTGCAGACGTCCTGGGAGAGGTGCATGTTGTGATCGAGTGGCTTTGGAGCCCTGTGACTTTGTCTGCAGAATGGGTGCGCTCCGGGGTCTGCCCTGTCGTCCTAGTCACAGGCCACAGGACCTGCTGCACACACTGTGGCTACTTGCCTGCTTTTCTTTGCTCCTTTCAAAGGGAAACGGGGGCAGCGAATGGTACAAGCTAGGTCTCAAGCTGACATGGTTAGAATGTGGACAACGTATGCACATGGACCTAAAAAAAATACGGTTTAGATGTACCACTAGTTTAGATGTACACACTGTGACACATACAGTGCTTTTCATAAACGTGTCCAGTGAACAGATCCATTAAATAAACCTAGAGATTGTCTTCTACGAGCACTGGACGATGCACTCTTACTTTACTCATCCTTCCCACCCTGGGGCCCTGCATTCACTTGTGACTGAGGCAGAATGACTTGGCTTGTCCCATCTGAGCCATGTGTTTGTATATACATAAGCCATTGCTTGTTTTTTGCAGATGTTGCAGCTTCTGTTGGATACCCTAGGCTGAAGTTGTAGAGATTATTGGAAAGCTGAAGCTTCCTGGGAGGTGGGTGGTTGGAGGCAAGGTGCGTAGGGCTAGAGTGTCGTGCCGTTCTGTGAAAGGAGGTGCCCCTTTCCTGATCTTTGCATGTCAGCTGTCTCCTCTGCTCCCAGCTCAGCCTATTAGTTGAACGCCACAATCTCTCAAATTGGAAGGCAGAGGTATAGGTTTTTAAAAAGTGCTCTATTGAGACAGCCTGTTGTGAGATTGACTGCGCAGCAAACAAAATGAGAAATGAAATGAGATCAAGCTTGTAAAATACAACATCTCTCCACTGTCTTAATCCAGCATTTTCGGAGGGGTTTCTGTTTTGTGTGCAGCTTAACCGCAGCAGAAATGACCAGAGAGTCCCTTAAGGCCGATGTTCAGTGCAGTCCACTGGTAATCATTTTATGCCAGGCTATTGCCAGCTGTGGACTTTGCCAGGAAGATTCCAACCTTTCTCACCAAGGAGTTCATTCCCACTGTGTCTTTAGAGATTTCTCTATATAATAGTTGGCCCGAGAGAGATTACTTCTTTCCTCCTGCCCAATACTAGGTTTATGACTCGCTTGCAGTCAGCACTGTCTATGTGATGACCAAATGAAATAGCGCAGCTCTGCTATCAGTCATAGCCCTTCGCTAACATGATCTTACTGAAAGCTCAGAGAAATGAGGAGAGGGTGGAGAGGGGTAAAAAGTAAGGTTGGAAACCTTGAGATGTAGAATTGAGCATTCGTAACGTGATAGGTGTTCTGCGATCTCAAAGAAACTTAATTCAAGCCATGATACTGAAATAGAAAAAACATATTCATAAAAATGTCAGCTAATTACTATGATTTTCTACCAGGCGAAAGTCTCTCCAGCTCTGCTGGATGTGCGGGAAAGAGTATTTAAGTTTTGTGGCTTTTCTCTAAAAAAATGAAACATAAAATAGAAAATAAATGAATAGTTCAGTAGGTTTTAAAGTTACTGTTTTTGGTGTTCCAGTGTAAGAATTTCCATCAGGTAAGGGAGGTATTGAGGTACAGGATTTCTTTATTCCAGAGAAATGAGGAATTTCAGCACTCTAAATCCAGTTTTGAAAAACAATTTCTGTGGTCGCTAAACAACTCACTAGCTATGTTTTAACTCATGAGTTAATCCATGCCTTGATAGTAACTAATTAGGTACTGAGGTTTAGGTGCTCATTTTTTCCTTTAAAGTCAATAAAATGTCCCTGTTGAGGTTGACGCATGGAAGTAACATTCAGAACAGAACAGAAATATGACATTCCTAAATATATATTTTATATAGTCTGATATTTGTAATTTGTATTATTTGATAATTAATAGAGAACTACTAAATGTATTTTGTAAGTAAAAAGGATCTAATGACATTGATTGTTGTAGCAGTGCTGTCTGGTGTTAAACCATTGCAGTGAAATAAAGAATGTTTTCTATAGGAATTATGTACAGTAGCAAAATGAGAATTATTGGGGTCAGTGCTGCATGGATACCTCATTGCAACAACGTTTTAAAACTTACTATAAATGTGTGCCCATAGTATGCATTTTTAGATTGAGGTTATAAAGAAAGGAGCCTGTAGGGATAATTAATCCTGAAAAGAAGTAGAAAAGACATTTATTTAGCATTTAATACAAATTGTTTGTTTGACTGGTGAGGGAAAAATAATTTCCCAGCAAACAGTTAATTTTCCTTGGACAAATGATAGACTTGCAATGCAAAATGTGTGCTTTTCTCCCAGGTGAATCAAGCAGAAATTATATCTTGCTATCAAGTAGTAAACTGAAATGTCAGTATTTTGTTATGTCCCGGAAACTCTTTGAGTTGAGCCCTTCTGACAAGATTTAACAGTGCTCAGAAAGTTTAAGATGTTTTATACTGTGAAAGAAGTATGTACCAAATATCAGGGTGTGTTTCAGCTGGCTTTACCCTTGAGGTATAATTTTATACTAAAAATAAGTGCTATTTAGTTTTTTCTTACCCATTTCATGCAATTCCTATTAATTTTAGCAGCAGTCTATTCTTTATAAGAAAAATAACATAAATACAGTTTTCTGTTGGTGCATTCAAGTAATTGATAACTGTACATTAGGAATCCATCTGCATTTTACTGTGTGTAAGATGTAAATAAAGTTGTGTTCGTATTAAATTGCTATTCATAGTTTCTCATCTAACCAGAATCCTTTGCGTGCAGCTCTGGTGCAAAAAACTGTGTTGCCCTGCAAGGGTTACAGCTTGCTGTGGCTGCGCTTGGAACATCAGCAACAAGTGGGATCCATGATCTTGGCCAACTTAATATAGCAAAAAGCTTTTTTTCCTTCTGTTATTTAAAAAAAAAAAGTCATAAAACTGCCTGAGCTTCTTTTCATGTGTATGTTTTGGGTTATCTCTCCTTCCCTTTCGCAGACCAAACTTGCCAATGGCACTTCCAGTATGATTGTGCCCAAGCAAAGAAAACTGTCTGCAAGCTATGAGAAGGAGAAGGAGCTCTGTGTCAAGTATTTTGAACAGTGGTCCGAGTCTGACCAGGTGGAGTTTGTGGAGCACCTCATCTCCCAGATGTGTCACTACCAGCACGGACATATAAACTCATACCTCAAACCCATGTTACAGAGGGACTTCATCACTGCGCTGCCAGGTATTTTTGCAAGCGGAGGAAGGTTGATTCTTCATTTTGTCTTTCAGAAAACACTTCTACTTGGCTTTCTGTGACTCTGGCCTGTCTTGCTGAAGAGTTCTCGTCTACGATCAGTTTGCAAAATAGATGATACGTTTTACAATATGAAATGTAATAATATTCTGTTTAGTATTCTTGCTGTCTCTCAAGGCGTATCTAATATCAACATGACTTGGCTAGAAGTAAGTGATAGATTTGTATGTAAAGGGGACGCAACCCAGGCCGCAGGGTAGATGGTTCTGCTCATAACGCCCGTAACGATGCATGAATAACAGAAGTTTTAAAAACTACTCTTTTTTTTGGTCAGTCTGGCAAGCTTTTCCTCTTTTATTTTTTTTTGTTTCTTTTTACTAGTAGTACTAGTAAAAGTACTAGTTTCCTGAAGCCATTGATTTGATTATCTGTGAATTACCAGCAGAGAATAACATATACCAGCTCAAAGAACAGAAATGTTATGTATATATTTTTGCAGCTTGGTAGAGCTTTTCATTGAGAGTATTGTCCCAGCTATTCTCAGATCTGGCATTGGGTGAATCTCACAGAATACATACATGAAATAAGGTACATACAGTTTTGTACTGTTCCCGTCTCATAGATGAAAAAACTGAAGCCGTGGGAGATAAAACATACTCAGATGTGTACAGCAAAATAGAGTTTCAGAACCAGTCAGAGATTCCTGGCTTTGCGTTCTTTTTTCAGACCATTAGATGATGCCTCTATAGATAGATAGGTAGTTAATAGATTAGCATTGCAATGGCTTAATTCCTTAGTTTCAGATGGACCTTGAGTAAGAAGTGTTACAGTTTTTGCCTCACAAAAATTTCTTGCACAAAGCTTGTTCTGTGAACACCTTTGGAGAACTGCTGAACTCCCACAATGTGTTCAGTCCAGTCATTTGGTTTCTTCAGAAGGGATTTTTCAACGTGAAATTTAAAGTCTAGGGCTGAAAGAGGAAAAAGCATGTTTAGCTGTGAATCTTACTAAGCATAAAGGCACTGGAGGAGCATTGCTATGAAGTTAAAAATATGTAGACTCTCTGGATTTTTAAGCTTATTGTGCCCAGCAATCAAATGGCTATTCTAGTGTTTTAAAAAAAAAATCTTAGTTATGCTAAGTACCTGCTTTATTTGAGTTTTTAGTAGTCCAGTGGCAATAATCTCATGTACTTAGAGCAGCTTTACAACTTGTGGAGCTGTTCTGTTTCAGAAAAATGGAAAGTATTTTGAAAGGGCATTGGTTTCTCCACTTTCAAAGTTGGAGTATACATATAGCTATATACACAATTTTTCCAGGTCTTTCTCCACAAAACTCCATGAAAGAAAGCCAACATATGCTTCAGGCTTTTTCCTGAAAATTTTAGGCAAGCGTTAGAAATATTTTCAGAGGCACCCAAAATTTCCCTGCCGTACTGTGTTTGTTAGTGGTTTTTCTACGATTATCAAGTAGCTCTGTCTTTAAATTTTGCTTCCTCAGAGTGTAGAACAGATAGGAATTAGGGAGCTAACATCTGAGTATTTGAACAGTTGTGGGAATTGTGTGCTTAAATAATGTGAATCAGTTTGCATATTGGTGAAGTGCTAATGTCCTAGTGAATATAGTTTTAAGGGAGAAAACGAGTGGCAAGGAATTACACTGGTTCAGGCTCTGCAGTCAGAGAGATGCAAAACGTCAAGGGTATGGGCACGTTTCTAATAAGGCAAATAGGAAAAGGGTGGGTAAGAAACTGCCTAGGAGGGAATTGTGTTCATGTTTGTGCAGTTTGTAAGTACTGTGAAACCTTTGTCACCAAGGTATTATTAAACGCTTTTTAAAAATTAAAAGATCTCGAGGACAGAAGAGGGAGAGTATAAGCATTTATTTAAACCTGGAGTTATGAATTAAGTCACATAATCTAAAATAAGCTAAGCTCTTTAAGTATTTTGTAGCTTTCTCAAAACCTCATGTGTTCAGTAGTTTCGTTTTTACTCCTTCATTCTCTCTCCTACTCTCCCCTTCAAGTAAATAAAGCAATAAAATTACTCCAAAATCCTGATATATCTTGTCTCTGTCCTCCTAGCACTGTCCCACAGAATGACCAGAATTTCAGGGAGTTTTATGCCATGAACACGCATTATTAATACAGAGTAAAATTAATTCAGGTTATTTTCCCAGTGCTTTGGACAGAATTAAAGACACAGATTAACTGTGCACTTTAACAGACTTTGTTCCCTTTCTAAGAAGTAAGGTCTCAACTTAGAATTTCCAAGCAGCTAACATTTTTTATGAAGAAAGTCATTTTTGTAAGGGCTTCATGTGTGAAATAGCTGAAACGTTCATTCAGCTCCAGCTGCAAAGGACTACTTTAAGAGTCAGTACTGTACTGTATAAGTTGGTGTAGAAGGCTGAAGGGCTAATCATGTTTCACATTAGTTTAGCAAAACCTTTTGTGAAAGGAACCTTCTCTTTTTTAAGGAAGTGATGTTCCAGGAGATATATATCTGAGCGAGTTGTGCTGTTCCTAAGGAACATATTAATTATAAAATTGAATTTGTAGCCAGGCCAAAATAGCTCTGCCCTTTCACTTATTGTACAGGGACGATATTCCTTCTCTACAGAGGGTTGAGGATCAAAGGCAAGGGTGACTTACGGTGATGGAAATACGTAATCCACCTCACAGCAGCAAGATTTAAAGTGTAACTACTGATGGTCCAGAGAGGCCAGGTGGGTCAGAGACAGAGTTGTGGGTGAGGATTACTCTGCCCAGTTTATGCAGTGTAGCCCTCCGTGCTTTATGCCACTGATCTGTTCCCCACATGAAATAACTTTTGCTCTCAATCTACTTATATAAAACCACCAGTATGCATACCACATGGGTGGGCATTTGTAAATGCCCTAATGGGTGGGTGGGTGGATGTCTGTGGGCTTGGCGGCAACACAGAGTGGGAAAGCAAATAGGCAATTTCCACCCACTGGGAAAAGCTCAGGATTGCAGGGTATCAGGGATGGGGAAGCAGGACATGATTGTCCACACTGTTATCCACCTGGCTGAATTGTGGAAGTCCTGCAAATTCCAGTTTTTCACCAAAACATTGTCTTTCTCTTTCTATGGATTGCCAGAATGTCAACCTAAAATCACAAACATTCTTTTTAAATAATTTTATGTAATAGATGTATATGTCTGTTCAGATTAAATACATGCTAAAGGCTGCTGATGCACAGGTTGACATCTAATTTTGCATCTATAAGGATAAGAAATATCGGGCCTCTTTCTCCACTCTCTGACTGCATGTGATATCGTTCACATGCTTTTTGCACTTTATGAATGGAAGCATACGATGCTGGGCATCAGCATAACTGACCCAAAGCCCATTATAAATGTATTTGAAAATGGCTGTACAAAGATACAGGATGTTGCAAAGGTGTAAGAGGAGACATACTGAATTCTCTTGTTTTCATGCTGGGGGAGATAATTTTGAGCTCTGTTGGTTAATGAAACAACAAAGGTTGGCGCTCGTAGTGTCTCGTGAACTCTGATAAAAATCAGCTGATTACACCTCAGTATGTGTTTGCTGAAGTATGGCCATGTGACTGTAAAAATGCATATGCTGCTTCTTCCTTCTGTGTCACTGACAAGCAGAGCCTTGTCTTTGAGGCTGTTGTTTTAAAAGCAAGCAAAGATGCATTTAACTGTGTTCCAAATGTGAAGAGGAGGGAAGATGCATGTAATGCCAATCTGCCATGCTTCGTTTTTGGTTGGTCTGAACATTATGCCTGGGGGATGATGGGGTCTGAACTACGACTTCCACAGAGAGCCTCTGAAATTTGACCTGTGAAGTGAGATAATCTCTTGACTGTGTGCGTCTCACTTGCGAATTAAACCACCTCCAAGAGAAATTGTATTCATGGGCTAGACATCTTATTCTTCTGAAGTCTTGCTAGAGATAAAATTTGAGTGGGTAAGGGCAGATTTTTACTGGGTTAGTCTGTCCAGTCTAAGTAACATAGAATGACCTTCCCTGGCCCTCTGGGTATTCAGGTTACATTGCGCTGTTAGGTGCTAACCAGGCTATGGAGCCAATGCCCTGTAACTGCGGTTGGTTGCTTGCTTCCTACTCAGTTGCCTTACGTTTTACTCCAGCCATGTTGACAGAAAGCCACTCCTGGTATTTGAACTGAAAAAATATTTGTAAATGATACCACTTTGGTGCATAACTTTCTCCACCCACCGAAATAAATGATGCTAGCAAACCTGCTTCACTTTCTCCTTAGACAGCCGCTTCTTCCCTCTTCACGTCCCTGTGCATCTGCATATCTTTCCCTCCCCCATGTCTAAAGGTACCACTACCCTTCAGGGCACACATTGGGAATATATATTTTTTTCTTCATTACGTTTAAAAGCTACTGCTTTAGCAAAAACAGCTTTTGAGCCGTTGGAACATGAGAACAGCTGTAGCAGTGAGATGAGAAATGGTCCTAATATAGAGAGATTTTGGGGGCTGTGTCGCTGAGTTGGAAACGCCATCCATAGAATATCCCCCTAGTGCTAAAACCCATCGAAATAGATTGGAATGACTTCTTGGATTCTTTATTATTTTTAATGACTTGTTGTGTTATATCCAAAGGAAGTTGGAGAACGCTGTTCACTCCTGAACTTAGCCGCAAATGCTCTTCCGTGCATTTAGTCAAGCTCTACATATAGAGGAGTAGATGGAAAGGCATAGGGAAGAGAGGGTATCTTTGTACGGGGCAAGGGGAGTAGTTTTAAACTGCTTATCTCCCCAGCAAATAATGCTTTTTTTTTCCTCCCCTAGCTCGGGGATTGGACCACATTGCCGAGAACATTCTGTCCTACCTGGATGCCAAATCATTGTGTGCTGCTGAGCTGGTGTGCAAGGAGTGGTACCGGGTGACATCGGATGGCATGCTGTGGAAGAAGTTGATCGAGAGAATGGTCAGGACGGACTCGCTGTGGAGGGGGTTGTCAGAGAGGAGAGGATGGTGAGGGAACTGCATCTTCACCCCTTTTGTCCCCACTTAGGACAGTAGGTGCTGTGTGTTTCAGACCATATTTGAAATGAGTTACTTGGCACCCCCCGAAACATGATTTTGGTTCCAAACCTGACATTTGCTTACAGCAAAATTCCAGGGCTGGGGAGTAAGGGCTTTATGTGGCTATGCAGGCAATCTGGGGGCTTTTTCCTCACCTCACTCATGTGATCATGCTCTTATGCCACTGTGACAAGTGAGATATACAGACTGAAATTTTTTACGCCCAGCTGTCATTCAGTTCAAATTAAGAAGCTGTGTATGCCCCAGGGGAACACTAAACTCATCAGCAGTTCAGAGCAGAGCTTTTTTAGGGGTGGCAGTGGGGCAGCATGTGCAATGAATTAGTTTCTGTTAGGTCTGTTTGTTTTCCTCAGCAGATTTTCACTATTAGATATCTGTTTAATTTTCAAACTGGAAGCTGAGGGTAGGTACCACGGAGAATAGGGGACTTTAGAAATGCAGATAGATTAGTTAATAATCATCTGGAATAGCCTTACTAGAATGTGGGTCTCACTCAAGTTTGAAGCTGCTCTGTTAACATTTCATTAGAACTTTTCCTCTCAGGGGTACGTCCTTTAATACATAATTTTCTTTTCCAAGGGTGTCCCTAGGATGTTGGCAGAAACGAAGCTGGGTATGAATATTTCATAAACAAGATAAAAGTGACAGCTCAGGCATTTTGGTTGCTATTAAAAAGAAAAAGATACAGAGTTGCAAACAAAGACTTGTGTTTCACAGTTAATTTTGTTATACTCTTTGTCTCAGGAAGTGAAGGCAAGTAAATCACAATTATGAAATGTCCTTCAAAAATAAGTACTCTGTTGATCTCCTTCCAGTAGCGTAACATGTATAAAAAGAGTAAAATAACTACAACCATGACATTGTTAACTTTTACATCCCCTTTTAGTGCCTTATTCTCTCGTGGACTTTCGTTCTGTATTGTTGCAAGTCTGAAGAGGTCCTTGAGAGGTTATGTAGTCTCTCCTGTTTCCCAAAGGCAGAGCCAACTTTTTCTAAGTTATTCTAGATGTTTGTCTAATTTGTTCTTAAAAACCTTCACTGGTGGTCATTCCCCATGCCTTAGTTGGTCAAGCAATTCCACTGCTTCGTTATCTTTACTGTTAGAAAGATTTTCCTAAAATCTAGGCACAGTCTTTCTAGCGGCAGTTCAGCCCATTTTGTTTGTCCTACCCAGACACAGGGGAAAGTTTCTCATTCCTTTTTTTGCAGCAGTCTTTTACAAGTTTGAATATAATTGTGTTTCCTATATATTGGATGCACTAAGTAACCCTATTCCTATATTTTCTTGTCTTCTTGTCATTCTTGATTTACTTGGTTTAAGCCATCTCCAGTTAGCCCACCCCATTCTTGGAGGGTGATGTCCTCAGCTGGACATATTGCATCTGCTGAGGCCTCACCAGAGTTTGGCAGTGTGGGATGGATTGCTTTGCATGTCTTATGGAGGACATTCCAGTTAATGCTCTCCAGTAGAAAATGTGCTGCTTTTTTTTTTTTTTTTTTAACAGTAGTATAATACTGTTATATAACTGTTCTAACAGCCTTTTCTGTAGAACTGCTTGGCCAATGTTTCTCATCTTGCATGTGTATGTTATTACTAAATCGTGAACTTTGCATTTGTCCTTATTGAATTAGATTCTATTTATTTCTTACTATTTCTCCATTTTATCGGGAGCATTATGAGTTTAATCTTCACCTCCAAAACGCTTGTAGCATCATTGTCCATATAATAAAGGTACTCCCTGTTCCATCCTTTGTCATTAATGAAAATGCTCTGTAACAGCAGATCTAGGACAGACCCCCTGCAAGACCCCAGTTGCCTTCCCGTTTGACAGTGCACCATTGGTAAATGATGTTTTCCAACCATCTATGTGTCCACCCTTGAGCCCTTCCACCGAGACTGTATTTCTCTAGCTGACACCTAGGTGTCAGAAGCCTTATGAAGGTTAGGATAATATCACAACCATGTCATAGAAGAAATAGAAGTTAGGTCAGTTTGACATGATTTACTCTCTCCTGATCAATGTTGGCTGTTGTTTGTCACCTTGTCATCTTCGAGGAGCTTATCTAATTGACTGTGTGTTCTGGGACCTCCAACCTGTTGAAGCTGAGCTGGCCGGTGCACAATTTCCCTGGGTCTATCTTATTCCCTTTTCCTTCCTTTTTTTTTTTTTAATAAAATAACTACATTTGCCTTTTTCCTGTTCTCTGGAGGTTCACCCATTTTCTGCAGCTTGTCAGAGATAATAGCTAATACTTCTGAAGCTGCTCCTTCCAAATTTTAGAATTAACATCAGTACCCCTTACTAGTCTTACAGATACATGCTATTTCTAAAAAAACAGTTACAAAATCCTGCTTCTCGCCTCAAAGAGGCTGTTACCGCACCTCTTCCTCAGGTTTACCTGTGTCCTGGAGGTTGTTCTTCTGACACAGCTGGAGCAAGTCATGCAGTATCTTTCAGACTGCCCTCTGGTTAGCTCTAGAAGATAAAACTGCAGGCATGGCAGGGTGGTTAAGAGAGGCAGACAAGAAATATACAGTGTAATTGCATCTCTGCCGTACGGAGCTTTATAGCTTGTAATCAGCTCTATGAATGGCACAGGGAAGTGACTAGGTGGACAGTTCGGAATGATAGATGACTGGTATTATTTGCTTACAGCTTCTCACTTAGCTTGGCACATGGGCTGCCTTATTTCAAGCATTAGCAGCTTGTGGTTTACAACAGAAACCACCCAGTTGTGTGGTAGCCTTCACTGCCAACTTGTCAGGGAGCAGTAAGGGTTATACAGATTTAGAGAAGAATAAAAGCAGAAGCCCAAAATCTGGGCACTATTTTGTCCATCCAAAGAGCTAATTAAGTTGGCCAGTCATCAAAAACAGCAAACAGTAGTTTCTTTTATCCCAGAGCCGCAGTTCAGTGGTCACTGGGATGCCATGGAAATTCCAGCAATCCCTTAGCTGAACTGTAAACAACTGACTGTATATGCCCCAAGGCATAGTTATAGTTAGTAGGTAGAGACAAGACCTTTTAATGGGTCAGCTAGTACAGTTGGAAACAATAGACAGGTTTTCAGGCAGATATGCTCATATACAGGTGTCCTAGACATCCCAGGTCATCCAGGATGTGCCCTCAAAATATTTTCAGTCTCCCTGGGCCAATAATTTTAATTCTGTTGCATGGACTTCCAGACTGCTTCACAGTGGATTACAGTGAATAAGGGTCCATCTATAGAGTGGTTTGCTTGCATCCATCTGGCCCTTCCTCTCATATATTTGTCCACATTGAGGGTGGCTGCTAATCACTGTATTTGAAAACTCAGATGATTCCTCTATCCAAAGAGGAAAGCAACTCTCTCTCAAATTGTACCTAAAACAGTTTGGTCAAAGAATTTTAAAAATGCTTTTCTTGAGCATTTATTATTTTGTTTGTTCAGTACTATCTACCTCTTACGATCTAGAGGCCTTGGTTCATTGCTGTGGTTTCTCTAATTCAGATTTTGGCCAGAGTACAGCAGGGCAGCTGATGCACAGTCTCTCAAATGAGTTTCAAGGTATACTGTTTGGAAAGGAGGAGGAGGAAATGCACAAGGAAGTATTGAACAATTAATTACACCATAATGGAGAAAGGGAGGGAGAAGAGGGGTGCTGGCCCGGTGTAGACTCTGTGCCTCTGATGCCAGGATTACACTCGGAGGCATTTGTGCCTCTCTCCGTTTTGTGAGGCATGTTGCCAGGCGGAACAGCAGTTAGTATGCCCATGGTGGGGTTTACTAGCTTCCACACCGTGTTTGGTGGCTTCTTAACTTCAGGATGAGGAATTAAAGTTTTTTACACAGCAGGTAGTGATTGCCGTTTGTGGATTTTTGTTTGTAGCAAAAATCTAGCTTGGGATATGAGTATTCCAAATCAGTATTGAAATGAGGAAGGCACCACAAATGAAGTGTTGCTTACCAAAATCTAGTAGTAGCAGTAAAATTTCCATGTGCCAAAGCTGTTATTGCTCCTGCTAATGCATATCAAAGCTGAGCTTGAACATGTAGTGATTTGATTCTTTCATTTCCTTTGCTGACTTTCTTTTCAAGGTGACATATGATAAGGGTATATGTGTATTGTGAACATGAGCCATTCTCATCTCATCTTGAGATAAAGCGGCTAATGTCCAAAATAGATAATACATTTCCCTTCCCTGTGTGACTAGTAACTGCTTTCTCATGAATTTATCAGTGTCTGAGTGCAGCACAGATAGGTTGCAGGGCAAACAGAACAAGGAACCATCCTGTCTTGTGGAGTAAAATTAAGTGTGAATATGAATCTGTCTGCACTTTTCAATGGTTGTTATGCATTTGTAAAATGCCAGGAAGACCTTTCTCCAAAAAGCTGAAACAGATTTGTGTTCAGTGGGAGTATTCTTTGTCTTCCAGGGGACAATACCTACTTAAAAATAAGCCTCCTGATGGGACTGCACCCCCCAACTCCTTCTACAGAGCACTTTACCCCAAAATTATACAGGACATAGAGGTAAGAAACATCTTCCAGGTATAGGTGGGTTTTTTTTTTTTAATTCCCCTGGTTCATTCATGAGGCTGAAATTTTGAAATTGGTTTCATTAAATATGATGTGTTTTGTGTTTGTCCAGAGTTTGTAGATCTGGGATACTTATATGAGGTCTCAGGGCTTCATCACTCCCTTAGACAAAGGATGAGTTGGACTGCTCAGACAGCTGTTTGAAAATGGAATCACAGAATAGTTGAGGTTGGAGGGGACCTCTGGAGATCATCTAGGGGCTCTGAAGATCATCTGGTCCAACCCCTGGCTCACGCATGGTCAGCAGTCTAGACAATGTCTATGCATGTCAGGTGTCACAGCAACACCATACCATCTTGATGTTCTCTGTTCCCAGTGCAGATGAGACCTAATAGGATGCTGTGGGAAGGTATCAGGAGCTGAGCGAGGGAGAAAGTACATTGCTAAAGACTGCAATCCTAAGACTCAGGGAAACGGGAAGCAAGTTGGCACTGTTGCCTTGTATCTAGTAGTGAGCAAAATGGCATGTTCTGGCAGTTTCCCTAATGGCAAAAGAGGTGCTCACGTATTGCTGTGGCAGGGTTGTACAAGCACTTGGCTAAAGCTCGGCTGAGACTCTCTTCAGTTATTTAATCATTGACTCACAGAGACTTGGAGACAAAAAAAAACCTTTTAGCTCACTTGTCCCTCACCATTCTAGACAATGCAGAAGAGTTTAGCAAAAAAAGGTTTTCCAGGCCTTTCTCTGTTTAATTGATTTTATCATATGTGTTGCTCCTTCTGGAAAACTACCATCATCGTATGAGCCGAACTGCAGGAAAAGGTGCAAATAAAAGTATATGCTATCTTCTCAAAAAAAAAAGGGAGAGGGAGATGGTTCTGTGCTTTATTTTTATTTCTCTTTTGTCTCCTATCTCTCCTCAAGACAATAGAGTCAAACTGGCGGTGTGGAAGGCACAGTTTACAGAGAATCCACTGCCGAAGTGAGACGAGCAAAGGGGTTTACTGTTTACAATATGATGATCAGAAGATAGTAAGTGGCCTAAGAGACAACAGTATCAAGGTGAGAATTTTCCAGGAGGGCATACCTAATCGCACATAGTGCCTACCCCATAAATAATATTATGTCCTAATTTCAGTGGTACCTGCCAAGACTCTTGTTAAATGGTTTACTATACCAAGAGTGTTTTTCTTCAAAGTATATAACCTGGCATTCTCCTTCCCCCACCGCACCCCTGAACAGCACGTATGCCTGTTGTATCTGGCAAGAGAGACCCTGTTTTCTTACTAAACAGACTTTGCTAGCAGAGTTTCTGTCCGTCTGTAGTTACAGACTATGTAATTACTGTGCCCTGATGAGAAGGGTAAAACCAGCATTCATAATAAAGGCAGAAGTACCAAAGATGTTAATGTATTGCATCAAAGAGCCCATGGAAGACTACAAAGACTGGCCCATGCCACTAAAGAAGTTCTAACTGCAATATGGATGATGCATTGTAGTAAAAAACAGAACAGCCAGACCAGTAAGTACTTACTGTGTGGTGAAAATCTTACTTAGCAGGGTGTTTCTGAATGTTTGCCATCCTAGATCTGGGATAAGAATACATTGGAATGCAAGCGAATTCTCACCGGACACACGGGTTCTGTCCTGTGCCTCCAGTATGATGAACGGGTGATCATTACTGGATCTTCAGACTCAACGGTCAGGTGTGTGTTCTTCATTTTAAGCTTTCTATTTGCACCTAAGATCTCAGCCTTGTTAGCTGCTGAAATGATCTTTCTTTCAACATGTGCTGTTCAATCAGTTCCATGAAGTAGTTCAGCACATTTGTTGAGGAATATACTGTCCTTGTTTATCAGATATCCATGCAAGTGGCTGTCCAGGAGAAATGAGAACTTAAGCAAAGGTCAGTCAAGCTCAAGATGACTTAGGAAGATCATTTTGTTTCATCCCTGGTTTTGCATGTTTGGACGCTCCCTGAGAATGTTTTTAAATTCTCCTTGAGAATAACTTTTTAAAAGTTGGCTGAAGTTCTGAAAGCAAGTTTGAAAGTTTTAGTAACCCATTGTCCCTTAATTTTAACAAAAGATGGGTGACTAGATCTCCTGTGGGTTTATATTAAATTTCAGCATGACGCATCTTCCTATTCAGTCTTTCTAACCTTGTCCTCCAGCCTCTGGTAAAAGGCTGGACACCTCAAGTCAGCACTTGAGGTGCTTGCTTTCACTTTGCAAATGCAAAGTTCACTAGACATATTACATGATTCCAGTCTAAAATCTGCAATGTAAATACAGCCACATTTGAATCAGTGAGTCACAGTATGAACCTGGAGATGAGGGAGCAAGTCTGTCTTCTCCATACTGTTATGTATTCTCTTTTTGTCAGAGTACGAAAAACGCCCATGCAGTGAAGTTACAGATGACAAAAATCTGTGTCAGTCGGCCTTTTCTGAAGCTCTTAGCATGTGTTCCTATGGTTGCAGGATTCTCACCATGCTTGTGTGTAAGCTACCACTGTTACGGTAGTGACCATTAAATTCAGTCCCTTAAACGTGATGCATGCAGGCCTGTGATGCTGCTAGATTTTTGGGGTCCTATAATTAGTAGGAATTCAGAATTTAGGCAACGCCACCTGCCTGGAGATCTAGCACTACATTAGTCAGTATGGAGACAAGGGGGTAACCACGCTGAGCTAAACACAGATTGCAAAAGGAGAGGCTGGTCTCTGTAATAAGCACTATCATTTTCCATACCAGACCAGGCAGGCCAAATTGCAGACTGGCCACTTGCCTAGAAATACTTTTGTTTCCCACTGTATCTATAAATGTTTGCTCAGACCCCAAAGGCACATGAGATGCATCACTTTTATCCTTGGGTCTCCTCAGGAAGAGGGGCTCCATCCAATAGACAGTACAGATGGGCTCTTAATGCTTCCCAGATCTCAGGGATGCACTTGTCCAGGGAAGTCAGTAGGTCTCCAGCTCCTGTTCAGTTTGGCAGTCCTGTCTGCAAATTGCTTGTATGCTAATAGCTCAGGTCTGTGGTCTCTTTCCTTTTGCATTCTATAACTGGCAGCATACTTTTCTTTCATTTAAAATCCAGAGGTTGATGTGTTTCAAACTCCATGCATTAGAAAATAAGAGATTGGAAGTCTTTCTCACATCTTGCCTTTTCTCACTGCTTACCTTACTAGCAGAGGAAAGCTTCAGCTTCCACAGTGTCAGTTATGTTTGATAATACAGCTTTTTCTGCTCTCGCTTAGTGTAGCTGGGATACAGTTGTGATACTACCAAAAGAAATCTCTTTATGGAGGGTTAAAAAAATGTGCAAACAGAACAGCTCCAAAAGAACATTTTTAAGGCTTAAAAGCTCCATTTCAAGTCATAGAAGTTCTGTATTGAGCCCCATCTAACTTTTTTCATCCTAAATTACCTTTCATCTGAAACAGTTCATTCCAATAATATTAAATTGATGTAAAAACTCTGTCTTAAGTTGGGTATTCAGTACATTCCTAGAATGTAGCTGTGCGCCAGAGGTGTTGCCAAGTAAATGCAATCCATTGTGCAACTTTTGGCAATTACTTATATTTGTTTGAAAAGTGTTATCTTATCTTCTGCCTCTGTATAAATTAACCTCTTGTGTTGATAGTCCTATGAGAGAGGTCAAAGACTAAATCTGTTTCTGAACTTGCTTCTTACCAGGTCATGTTTGAGTGCTCATAGACTGGAAATGGAGTGTGTATTTGGCTTAGATAACCAGGAACCATCAGCCTTTAGGGCTGTCAATCTCATACCTTTCCTTAGCACTAAATTCCCTTAATTCAGGAATGCTTTTTCTGGCTGGGTTGTTTTTATGGTGTTAACTGCATTGCAGGGTTTTTGGCTGCTGGTCTGTCTCAACATATCCATAATCAACAGGTTTATATAATACATCTTCTAATGAAATATTTAGTAGATTTAGATATAACTTGTGGTGTTTGCTTCTCTAATATTGCTAGAGAGTTGATTACCTTCCTCCAACCCCTCTCTCTGCGGAAGTCTACTGTATAGCTTTTAACCCTTTTCCTCTCTGGTTTAATGCTTGAAATTGCAGGGTGTGGGATGTGAACGCAGGCGAGATGCTGAATACACTGATTCACCACTGTGAAGCAGTACTGCACCTCCGCTTTAATAACGGCATGATGGTGACGTGTTCCAAAGACCGTTCCATTGCTGTGTGGGACATGGCTTCCCCAACAGATATCACCCTGAGGAGGGTGCTAGTAGGGCACCGAGCTGCTGTCAACGTAGTGGACTTTGATGACAAGTACATTGTATCAGCATCAGGTGACAGAACTATAAAGGTGAGGTGTTTCAGAGGATTTTTCTTTACAGCACTGGGAATTTAATAACCAAGGACAATAACCAGGCAGGGAAGACAGTCTTTGGCCGTTATTACACAGATCTTCCTTTAGAAGTAGTGTCCTTCTTGCTGCTCGTTTCCACTCATCCTTCCTCTGTTGAGCTCACAGAAGTTGTTTACAAAGCTGTATGGCACACCTGATACAGGTACCAATGCAGCTGAAAAAGGACTAGTATTTTTTCTGTGTTCTTTTTCAACCCGACTAGTTCCATAATGTGTTTCAGCATCAGTCACGCAAACAGTTGTCAGAGGGCAGCATGAGGGCAAAAGGAAAGGTGAGTGGATAGGCGTCTCTTAAACGTTACTGTTGTGATCCCAATCTGTAGCATTAAAACTCAGAAAAATCTGGTTCCTGTGTATACGAAATCACAGTCTGAGAGTGTTAAAGCCTGATTTTGGAAGCTAATTCTAAGCCAGAAAACCTTCTACATACAGTGACCCAAGCTGCTAACAGTTGCAGGCTGTAGTCACAAGTCATTGAAAGGATAATTCTCCCAATCTTAATTATAGCATTGTCAATTACAAACATTCTACGTTCACCTATATAACACACAGATACCAGCTTTTGTTAGTCTCTTCTTAATAATTTTATCTCTGTATGGTTTCCCCCACCCCTTTTCTGTCACAGGTGTGGAACACTAGTACCTGTGAATTTGTGCGCACCTTAAATGGCCACAAACGAGGCATTGCGTGTCTGCAGTACAGAGATAGGCTAGTAGTGAGCGGCTCTTCGGATAATACTATCAGGTGAGAGACACGTTCCCCATTGCAGAGTTTTGTACAAGCACGTCTCTGTTTCCCTGGGACGTGCGGAAGTTAGATATCTACAGTGGTCTGTACCCTTGTCGTCTTTGAAATATGCTTCCTTTGGTGTAGGACATTGGGAACTCCTGGACGGAGATATTAGAAGCCTTTTTTGCAGTGTTGTCTTTTATCCTCTGTATCTCAAGAGGCCCATACTAATCAACGAGTTGCAATGCTCTGACAATTCTAGTGTATGAAAGAGCTGGCAAGTACCACTTTCTGTGATGTCCTCTTGTGATATTTTAATTGGGCTATGTGTCTGGTTAAAGGGGTCAGATTTGCAGTAAGAAGCATTTAATCCTCTCCAGAAATCCTCCTGGGTTCTTGCCAAACTCCTCTTGTGGTACTTGGCACCTGGTAAAGTTTGGAACAGCTGGTTTAGAGCATTAAGTTCAGTTTGCTCCCTTTTGCGCTTCTCCAGCTGCCCTGGTTGCAATCTGAGATTTAACTCCTCCTAATATGAGCCAGGATTTCTCCCTACTACCTGCAGCTGCTGATAGAGAGATGTGCCACCGTCACCTTCACTAGGGGCATTGAGCAAACTTGAATAATAGTGTGAGTGACCTAGGGAAGTGGCTCTATCATGCAAACAGGAAGAACAGCCTCCCATTTAGTTTCAGAGAACTGTGTGCCTTCCAATAAAACTTGAAAGCTGGACAGCCTAGGCAGAAACACTTCACTTTCCATGTTAGAAATCATTTCTCCTGAGTGAAAATTATTCGTGTCGCTGTTTGCCTGTTGGCCTTTTTTCCAGCAAGCTGCCTCCCACTGCTTTGGGTTCTGTAGGAAAATGATGGTCCTTTGGTTGACATCACCAGGTTGTTGTACCAGAATTTACTGTAGAGCTGTCTGAGACCATGGCTGACGAGGAAAACAGCTGGTCGCAAGAGAGAAAAGCTGAGGCTTTTCTCTCTTAAACAGGGGAAAAAATGTTATAGGCATTTGATAAGAATAATAGCACAACTTATGATGGGAACTCCTGCACTTCAAATACTAAAAATATCCCTCTGCAGTTGGTCCCAGAATTAAAGTAAGAAATAGTTAAATAAGGCAGCGCTTAGGTCAGATTTCAAAATATAACTTGTAATATGAATAAAAATAAGTGTCACTATAGTAATAACACTAAAGAGGAATGTGATTACTTTTATGCTCACACTGGACAAAATCCCTAGTTGACAGAGAAATTGTGCTAGAATTTTAGGAATGTCGGCAGTGAAGCTTAATGGAAGTCAAATTTCACAGCTATGTGGGCAAGGCACAAGGCTTACCTGTACTTTTCTTTCAACCATGAGCAGAGGGCACATGTCTATGGAAGGGTGATTAAAAAAGGGCCGATTACTAACTCCTCTTCCTGGGTGGTCTGATGTTTTGTATGTTTTGTTTTAATCTACTGTAAAATACCAGGTGCTGTGTGTTGGCCTTAATAGAGGTTGCAACCTGGTATGGAATTTGAAGTTTGACATTCCTCAGTTGCAAGGAAGCTTTTTTCCAAAAGGAAATGAGACTTTGTGATTTCCAGTTCTGCACCTGCAAATCCAAAGAGCATTTGACATAGCTGGGAAATTAAAATCATTCTTATATAGAGAAACTCCATGTCTGAAAATGATTTAGATTTTGTTTTAGGCCAGAAATTTCACCAGCGTAAAATGACATAGCCCTATAGGCATCACTATAATTGTGCTGATTTCCATCGGGTGGAAACAGGCCCATCAACTTACGTAAATCCAACCATTTCAGTATCCTGGCCTCTAGGGCCAAAGGTTTTCATTACTGCAGACAAGCTCTATATAGAAAAGGAGGAAAAAACACAAAATTTAGAGCAAGAAAATAAAGAGAATTGGACTACGTCATCTTGGGTTCATTTTCCAAATGAATGGTTGATTTGCATTTATGTATTCAACCTCCAGTGTGTGTGCACACCCTGGAAATCTGATACTGGCCTCTTCAGATAGCAACTTTCTCTCTAGGAGATGGGGATTCAGGCTTACCTGCATTCTGCACATCTTCCAACTCTGCCAGGACTTCAAGAAAATTAAAGGGTGAAATTATTGCAGGCCTCCCTCTATTTCCAGATGTTTTCCCAAAGCTATATGAAGGAAGAGTTTGTAGTGTCCTTGCCTGCACGTGCTTTGTAGTGAATTTTTGTAGTTAGTTCTTAAACCTAAGAATGGTTGTCTTACTATTTGCTTCTTTGACTGTTTAAAAGAAGTAGAAATTTGAGAAGGTTATCAAATCTGGGAGGTGCACTTGGCACCCAGTTCTGCTAGGCTTCGTGGAGCTGAAGATTTGAGATATGCTGCTCTTACATAGTGGTTATCCCTTTTGAACACAAAGGCCCATTCCCCACCTGACTAGGGGTGTGATCATCTTTTCTAATCCCAGTCAGATTCAGCTAAAAACTCAAACTGAAACCTGTTAATAAAGGCCTGAATTACTGTGATGCAGCCTCCCAAAGCTGCTGGCAAACTCAGGACTGATGGCAAGGAATGGAAACACATGGCATGAAAGTTCCTGGCACAAGATTGCTCTTCGAACCTTTCTGCACCAGTTCATTTCTGGCCTTGTCCATCCTGATGACAGTCCTTGGGAAACTTAATGCTGTCTGACCAGCCAGAGTGCCTTTGGCTGACCTTTGCCATGGAGTTGCTTGCTCTGACCTTGACTGGTGTACTGCTACTAACATAAAAACTGTTGGGATCTTCACAGATTCCTGAAAGATGAACTTCAGTGATCAAAGAATCATCTTCTGCTCCTGCTTGGCCTCAAATGTAGGCATAGACAAATCCTTCCCGAGCCCTGAAATGAAGAAGGAGTTCTGTTCATTCCTCCATTGTCCAAAGGGAGAGCAGCTTGTTTTGGCAGGACTGCAGAAATCCTTCTGCATCAACCTTCAGCACGCATTCACTGGCTCTGGATTATTCCCTGGGGGAATCTCAGGAGTGAAATATGTGGGGACAATTTCTCTCTCTCTCTCTGTGTCTCGCTCTCAAGGAAAAGTGACCTGAGCCCTCAGCGGCTGTGCTGCTTTGAGATGAGTCACCCAGAGAGATTCCATGAACCACCCATCTTCATCATTACTGTGAAGTTCACGTCAGTCTGAACGCTAATTTAATGAACACTTAAGAACTTTTGTGACTGCTCTCTTCTTTCAGCTGTGTGTCAGAGGGCCTCAGTAGATACTGCTGTTAAAAGATTACTGTTTGTCATGAGCGGGGAGTATATCATCCAGAGGTGGAATACATATAGACAATACATCTCAAAGAATTTCAGTTCTTGGAGGCAAATAATCTTTTTTTATCCATGATAATTGAGAATTATGTCAAGAAACTGACAAAAGTGTGGAAAGCAAATAGACTTATTTCCTAACTGTTTCAAGCATTTCTTAGAGATTTCTCAATGTATTGTGTAAGTGTAAAAATTGATATATTTTAATTTATTCTCCATGGTAAAAACCCTTCACGACCCCAAAACTCTTGAGTTATTTACATTTGAGAATAACACATTGCTGGGTCTCTTACTGGAATGCTATGTCCAGTTT